TCAGGCAAAACCTACCCGAATTATAAATCATAGCCTCTTTACTTTAATTTAATCCGAAATTAAGCTTGTCAGATAAAAAAAAAACAGCGGTCTTGCTCAGGACTAGAGTTGAAAAATAGCATTTACTAATAATCCAATATAGTAAAAAGTATATTCCCGAGCATATAATCTGAGACTACTATACTGTGTTATAGTAGTCTCAGGTATAATGCACAAAAATAGGGTAGTTGTGTACTCTTAAACTTAGTTACAAATGTAGGTGGTATTTTTCTTTCAACTACATGTTAAAACAGATATGATCCGTGCACTACAGTAGAATTACGGCTTTAGTTGTTATAGTACGCACAAAAATTAATTGGGCTAATTTGGTCTCTGTCATTGGCAATAATGTCTCACATCTTTTTATTCAATATAAATTGTAAATCTTGAATATTTTGTAATCAATTTATGAAGCTTGATCGAAACGTAGATCCACTTGGATACCAATTGTTCTCTTTACTTCTATTTCACAAATGAACTGATGAAGTAGAGACATATATTGGTAGTCACACGTAGTTGGAATTTCACATGCTATTTCATTATTATACACTATAACTAACAATTGTGATGACGAATTTTTTAATCTGTTCTAGAACAATCGAATTGAAATATAAATCTGTGATTTTACTATGCTTATGTTCATAACTTCGAGGAAGTAAAGCAAGTTAAAGATTGATCTGAATTTAGATCAGATTTGTTCTGGAGGTTTCTTTTTTTTGTACATTTTAAAGTACGACTATCTATAGTTCCGTAACTTTCTATCTGTATTAACTAATGATCGACATTTGTGTGCATTTTTGTGAAATACAAGAAATAACTATATGTTTCCAAATGTCTATAATTGTTGACAACGAGTACATACTTACATTTTCCATATTTTACTTACCATTCCAAAATATCTAAATAGAGTTTTACTTCATCTAATCTGTAGTTGGAATTATTTAGATTTTCATCAATATCATTCATTACACCAGAATTTGTTATTCATAAACAAGTGGAAGTAAAATTGCCTACACGTATGAGTTTAGAAATGTCTCCTGTATCACTGTCGGACTCAGGACAAACAAAATGTACACATGATGTATATTACACCTGAAAGTTCCAAACTACCGGCCGTGTACACTGATCTTTACACAGTGGTATATAAGGTCAGCAGTGAAACGATGCATGATCCTGCATTATGTTATTGTGTAATAAGTGTGCAGAGTTTCCCTTTAATACCCAAGAAAGGAATACCCAAGAAAGGAAAAACTGTGCAAAGCCATTAACAAGCCAAGCAATGTCATATTAGAAATTTATGAAAATAATAAATGTGGATAGTGTCTACATGTGTACACAGATGATGCCCCCACTTGGATATCATATAGTTATAAAGGGACATAACTGAAGAACAGTATAAGTGACGCTACCCAAATTTACACTTGATCTGAATTTTGTGGTAATAAGCATTGTGTGTAAGTCTCATAACATTTGGTTAAGGCTAACTTAAGTGGAGAACAGAAACTAAAAATTCAGCAATTTTTCTATTTGTAAACACGCATAACTCTAGTACGGTTGTGTATAGAGAACAGAAAAGAAAAATTCAGCAATTTTTATGTTTATAAAGGGACATAACTCAAGAATAGTAAAAGTGTCGCCACCAAATTTCGTACTTAATCTGTATTATGTAGTAATAAGCATTGTGTATAAGTTTCATAACATTTGGTTGAGGCAAACTAAAGTTAGAAAACGGAAACAAAAAATTTGTACTTGATCTTAGTTTTGTGGTAATGAATATTGTGTATAGGTTTCATAATGTTTGGTTGGGGCAAACTTAAGTTACAGAATTGAAACTAAAAATTTTGCAATCTTTCAATTTATTAAGGGGCATAGTGTCCACATGTGGACACAGATGATGCCCCCGTTTGCATAGTATATAGTCATAAAGGGACATAACTGAAGAACGGTAAAAGTGACGCTACCCAAATTTCTACTTGATCTGAGTTTTGTGGTAATAAGCATTGTGTGTAAGTCTCATAACATTTGGTTGAGGCTAACTTAAGAAGAGAACAGAAACTAAAAATTCAGCAATTTTTCTATTTGTAAACACGGTTGTGTATAAGTTTTATAACATTTGGTTGAGACAACCTAAAGTTAGAGAACGGAAACGAAAAATTCAGCAATTTTTATGTTTATAAAGGGACATAACTCAAGATGGTAAAAGTGTTCTCACCAAATTTTGTACTTAATCTGTATTATGTAGTAATAAGCATTGTGTATAAGTTTCATAACATTTGGTTGAGGCAAACTAAAGTTAGAAAACGGAAACAAAAAATTTGTGCTTGATCTTAGTTTTGTGGTAATGAATATTGTGTATAGGTTTCATAATGTTTGGTTGGGCAAACTTAAGTTACAGAATTGAAACTAAAAATTTTGCAATCTTTCAATTTATTAAGGGGCATAACTCAATAATGGTTAAAGTGACATTACCCAAATTCAACTTGATCTGTGTTTTATCAGTGGAAGTCAAAATTAAACATTGCATTGTATAAAGCATTGATTGTAGTTGATTCAACTATAATCATGGACAAAGGGAGATAACTCCAATTTTAAAAATTACTTGATAATTAGAAAAAAATAAAAATTTTGCAATTTTTCCATTTATAAAGGGACATAACTCTAGAACGGTTAAAGTGACGCCACCAAATTTCAAACTTGATCAGTGTTTTGTGGTTATAAGCATTGTGTATAAGTTTCATAACATTTGGTTGAGGCAAACTTAAGTTAGAGAAAGGAAACTAAAAATTTTGTAATTTTTCCATTTATAAAGGGGCATAACTCTAGAACGGTTTTAGTGACGCCACCAAAATTCAAACTTGATCTGTGTTTTATGGTAATAAGCATTGTGTATAAGTTTGATAACATTTGGTTGAGGCAAACTCAAGTTAGAGAACGGAAACCAATTTTGGGACTTATGTACGTTCTTACGTACGGACAGACAAGGGTAAAACTTAATGCCTCCACCGCTACAGCGGGGGCATAAAAATGTGTACTTGATCTTAGTTTTGTGGTAATGAATATTGTGTATAGGTTTCATAATGTTTGGTTGGGGCAAACTTAAGTTACAGAATTGAAACTAAAAATTTTGCAATCTTTCAATTTATTAAGGGGCATAACTCAATAATGGTTAAAGTGACACTACCCAAATTCAACTTGATCTGTGTTTTATCAGTGGAAGTCAAAATTAAACATTGCATTGTATAAAGCATTGACTGTAGTTGATTCAACTATAATCATGGACAAAGGAAGATAACTCCAATTTTAAAAATTACTTGATAATTAGAAAAAAATAAAAATTTTGCAATTTTTCCATTTATAAAGGGGCATAACTCTAGAACGGTTAAAGTGACGCCACCAAATTTCAAACTTGATCAGTGTTTTGTGGTCATAAGCATTGTGTATAAGTTTCATAACATTTGGTTGAGGCAAACTTAAGTTAGAGAAAGGAAACTAAAAATTTTGTAATTTTTCCATTTATAAAGGGGCATAACTCTAGAACGGTTTGAGTGACGCCACCAAAATTCAAACTTGATCTGTGTTTTATGGTATTAAGCATTGTGTATGAGTTTGATAACATTTGGTTGAGGCAAACTCAAGTTAGAGAACAGAAACCAATTTTGGGACTTATGTACGTACTTACGTACGGACGGACAAGGGTAAAACTTAATGCCTCCACCGCTACAGCGGAGGCATAAAAATTTGTACTTGATCTTAGTTTTGTGGTAATGAATATTGTGTATAGGTTTCATAATGTTTGGTTGGGGCAAACTTAAGTTACAGAATGGAAACTAAAAAATTTGCAATCTTACGATTTATAAAGGGACATAACTCAATAATGGTTAAAGTGACACTACCCAAATTCAACTTGATCTGTGTTTTATCAGTGGAAGTCAAAATTAAACATTGTATAAAGCATTGATTGTAGTTGATTCAACTAGGAGTGAAAACTCATCAAAGATACTAATCCTATAGTTCAATACACTTAGACGTAAAATACTTCAGGATAAATTGACCCGCCCTCTATCTTTTACACATTAAAGAACCTTTGTGCGCATGCTCACATACCCAAAGCCCCCACATTGTCACTGGGTAAACAAAATCTCACCAGATTCCTAAGTTCAAATAATCATAACTCCTTAAAAGGTCATCTGATTAAAATTTCTTGTGGATATACACATCTACATATTATGTCCTCACTAACTACAAAGTTTCATGAAATTCTTTTGTGCAGTTTCAGAGGAGTTGCGATGACAAACTGTTACAGCAGTATAGGCCAAAATTCTAAGTTCAAGGGGGAATAACTCCTAGAAAAAAAATTGAATCATAATTTCCTATCGATATGCACATCTACATAGTGTGTCCTCATTAACTACAAAGTTTCATGAAAATCTGTTGTGCAGTTTCAGAGGAGTTGCGATGACAAACTGCTGCAGCAGTATAGGCCAAAGTTCTAAGTTCAAGGGGGCATAACTCCTAGAAAAAAAAATTTAATCATAATTTCCAATCGATATACACATCGACATAGTGTGTCCTCATTATCTACAAAGTTTTATGAAATTCTGTTGTGCAGTTTCAGAAGAGTTGCGATGACAAACTTTTGCAGCAGTATAGGCCAAAATTCTAAGTTCAAAGGGTCATAACTCCTAAAAAAAAAATTGAATCATAATTTCCTGTCAATATGCACATCAACATAGTATGTCCTTACTACATGTATCTACAAAGTTTCATGAAATTCTGTTATGTTGTTTCAGAGGAGTTGCGATGACAAGAACAGGACTGATGGAATGATGGAAGGATAGGCTGACGACAGATAGGTCAAAAACATTATACCCTACGCAACAAAGTGGGGTATAAATATACAAACATCCATATTTTCTAATAATTTGTTGTTTCTCATTATTTTAACTACTAAATTCATTCACCTGGACATGTGATGGGTAAGATAAAACTGTTTCTATGGCATTGGCTATGTCCTGAGGATCCAGACTTTGTCTTGTATTGTAACATTCGTCAGCTGCAGCTTCTCCAACTGCAGTATAGGCAAAATTAGTCTTCACTTAGCCTGGACTGATACTCTGTAACAACAAATGAAATATGTTATAAGGGACTTCTGGGTTGCCAACAAAACGTGTTGATACATAAACAAAGGAGCAGAAAATAACAGCATGGGGGAGTGTATATGTTACTAAAAAATATAAACAAGTCTAAATTGAAAAAACGTTCAAACCTATGATTGCGTTGGATAAAAACCGCAATTTTTATACATGTGCATGCAAAACAAATTTCTTGGTAGAGGGGTCTAAAATTAGGAATAGGACTGTTTTTAGTGAGATTCACTTGTTGTTGAGTATAGAGTTGTGCATTACGAAAGTCGAGTTGTGAGTTACAAAGGTCGAGTTGCGAGTTACGAAGGTTGAGTTGCGAGTTACAAACATCGAGTTGCCAGTTACGAAGGTCGAGTTGCGAGTAACGATGGTCAAGTTGCGAGTTACGAAGGTCGAGTTGCGAGTTACAAACATCGAGTTGCGAGTTACAAAGGTCGAGTTGCTAGTTACGAAAGTCGAGTTGCGTGAAAATGGGAAAAACTATTTTAATTTTTTGGTGTACCTCTTTAACATTTTTGAATGATAATTGCTGATAGAATTGTATACAATATTGTTGATTCTTTTTTTTTTGTTTAGACTTCATCTGAGTCTCGTGTAAAAAAAAATTAATGGATTGCTTATATAATCACTACGCAAAGTATTTTCTAAAGAAACAGATAGCCTTTTTAAAAACCAACAATACTGTATACAATTCTATAAGCAATTATCATTCAAATAATTAAACTACATACCATAAAGCGGATGGCATGTAGTTTAATTATTATTAAATTTCATTACTAGCACCGTCATATTTAACGTAAAAGGAGATAGCAACTAAACTATAGTACATATATATAAAAGACCCCTTCTGCAGATTTCGTTAAGAGTGGGCTCTATAGAGCAGTTGCAGAGGCAATATTTGTCAAGGACCCCAAAATCTATTCTTTGGTAGTGAAACTCAAAATTGTGGACGTTTAAGTTATTTATGTCTACATTGGCTAGAGGTCAATGGGGAAGGCTGAGCGCTCATAAAACTTGTTTAACCCAGCCGCATTTTTGCGTCTGTCCTAAGTCTTGTGTATTTTTTTAATTTTGGTTCATCTATATGTTTCAGATCATAGAATGGGGTCCATTTTCTTGATCTAGTGTACATTGTGTTTCGGGGCCTGCTCAGGGCTGCCTCTAGTTGTGGGATTTCTCGCAGTGTTGAAGACCCATTGGTGGCCTTAGGTTGACTTGTATATTTTGGTTGGGTTGTTGTCTCTTTGACACATTCCCCGTTTCCATTCTTTATTCTATGCATGTAGCTGTCAAAGATACTTTTGTAAAAGGGGCAAAAGATGCAGTTTTGGAATATGTAACTTCTTTCTAAAAAATGGGTTAATCATACCCAAATCAATAAAATTACTTTAGGAATAACATGCTGATAAAATTTACTTTTTTTTGACACGAAACTCATTGTGCAGTAGATGGGAAATTGATTACATAAAGTTTGAATTGTTTGTATAAAACGTCAAAACATTTTTACATCAATATGAAAAATGTGCAGTTTTAAAGAGTTGTTAGTTATTTGAAAAGTATTCAAAAAATAACAATCCAGAGAAATTCAACATTGACCAATGAACCATAAAAATATGGTCAAGGTCAGATTAAACATGCCAAACATATATTTCCACCTTACAATCATTCCATAAACCAAATATAGTTCACCTATTTCTTATAGTATCTGAAAAACAGACCAAACAAGAAAAAAGTAGCATTGACCAATGAACCATGAAAATGAGGTCAAGGCTAGATGATTACTGTCAGACAGACATGTACACCTTACAACCATTCCATACATCAAAATACAATTGACTGAATACTTATAGTATCTGTGAAATAGACCAAAACACAAAAAGTTAACTTTGACCACTGAACCATGAAAATGAGGTCAAGGTCAGATGACACCTGCCAGTTGGATGTGTACACCTTACAATCATTCCATATACCAAATATAGAAGACCTATTGCTTATGGTATCTGTGATATGGACTTGACCACGGAAACTTAAATTTGTTTACTGTTCCATGAAATGAGGTCAAGGTCAATTGAAATCTGTCTGACAGGCATGAGGACCTTGCAAGGTACGCACATACCAAATAAAGTTATCCTATTACTTATAATAAGAGTGAAATTAACATAACAAAATTTTTTTTCTAGTAGTCACTGAACCATGAAAATGAGGTCAAGGCCATTGGTCATATGAGAGACGGAAAGTTCCTAAGATAAGGCATCTATATACAAAGTATGAAGCATCCAGGTCTTCTACCTTCTGAAATACTAAGCTTTTAAGTCAAGAGCTAACGTTGTCACCGCCGGATCACTAACCCTAAGTCTCGCTTTCTGCGACAGAAGTAGCAGGCGAGACAACTAGATTTATTAACATTTTACAAACCAAAATCCGAGGAAGAATCAAGGTGCCCCCCGAAAGGCAAAACATAAACTACTGCACACGGGACACCTGCCGTATGGCTTATGAAAGAATGTATTCCGTGATGAGTTATCCGATGGTTTCACATTCGGCGGAAACGAAGACGCTGTGGTTTATAGCAATTTGGTATTTGGAGAGTTTTTCAAACGTGTTATCTTAAATTATGCCACTAGAAACCCTTAGTTTAGTAGCTTTCATGTAGACAGCAACCCTAAATCATGAGTTATGCATTCTACTATAAAAGAAAGGCGGAACATACCGAAAGGAGGATTTAAAACTCTTTGGTCAAAGACAAAGTGACAAATCCATGTCCAAATTAAACCACTAAATAAAAATTCAGTAATTTTTCTATTTGTAAACACGCATAACTCTAGAACGGTTGTGTTTAAGTTTTATAACATTTGGTTGAGACAAACTAAAGTTAGAGAACGGAAACGAAAAATTCAGCATTTTTTATCTTAATAAAGGGACATAACTCAAGAATGGTAAAAGTGTTGCCACCAAATTTCCTACTTAATCTGTATTTTGTAGTAAAAAGCATTGTGTATAAGTTTCATAACATTTGGTTGAGGCAAACTAAAGTTAGAAAACGGAAACAAAAAATTTGTACTTGATCTTAGTTTTGTGGTAATGAATATTGTGTATAGGTTTCATAATGTTTGGTTGGGGCAAACTTAAGTTACAGAATGGAAACTAAAAATTTTGCAATCTTTCAATTTATAAAGGGGCATAACTCAATAATGGTTAAAGTGACACTACCCAAATTCAACTTGATCTGTGTTTTATCAGTGGAAGTCAAAATTAAACATTGCATTGTATAAAGCATTGATTGTAGTTGATTCAACTATAATCATGGACAAAGGAAGATAACTCCAATTTTAAAAATTACTTGATATTTAGAAGAAAATAAAAATTTTGCAATTTTTCCATTTTGTAAAGGGGCATAACTCTAGAACGGTTAAAGTGATGCCACCAAAATTCAAACTTGATCTGTGTTTTGTGGTAATAAGCATTGTGTATATAAGTTTCATAACATTTGGTTGAGGCAAACTAAAATTAGAGAACGGAAAAGAAAAATTCAGCAATTTTTCCATTTGTAAAGGGGCATAACTCTAGAACGGTAAAAGTGACGCCACCAAAATTCAAACTTAATCTGTGTTTTGTGGTAATAAGCATTGTGTATAAGTTTCATAACATTTGGTTGAGGCAAACTAAAGTTAGAGAATGGAAACCAATTTTGGGACGTACGTACGTACAGACGGACAAGGGTAAAACTTAAAATCATATTATGATCTCTTATGCCAGGAAGTTACCATAATGCCATAGAAAGACATCTATAGAATGCTTAGTTTTGTGTTGTAGTATTCAGATATATATACATTGAACAACTTGATTATTAACTATTTTGCTGTATATATATGCACTCTCTGCTTGGGGTTGAATCACAAAGTTAACAAAGTTCAAAATTATTTAAGTTATCACATAAAGCACATAGTGTATCACATTTCTGACTAATTCATGAGATATTTTCCTAAGTTAAATGTGCAATTGTGCCTATATCACCCTAAACCTTTGCAAAAGACGAATAGTTAGCACTTGGTATGATAATAAATATCCTTTATTCAAGCGTCACTGATGAGTCTTGTATAGACGAAACGCGCGTCTGGCGTAGAAAATATTATAAGCCTGGTACCTTTGATAAGTATTTTCTTTAGGCCTAATACAGTGCCATATTTTGTGGTATGTCGATAACTTGCAAATATATTTCATTTGTCTATACATGATTTATTTTCTTATGCTTGATTTGTTCAGTACGGTATACATTTTGTCTTTTATCCACATTATATCCTGTTTTATTTTAGAAAATGAACAATGTCGCTCTCATGAAAGAAATTTAAGCGTGTGTGACTTTGCAACATATAGACTCTTATAAATAAGTATCACATAACTCTTTCAAATCCTGCAATCAAAATACCAGGAGTGTATAACTAAGTTCGGGTACATGTATGCTTTGTTTATTAAATGCAAAGCAAACCTGAAAATTCTGTTTTAAATATCAAACGACACAACCGTTTATATATACGACCGTTTATATATATAATTCTTAAGAAATTAGAAAAACATAATATTTTGTAACTCGCAACTCGACCTTCGTAACTCGCAACTTGACCGTCGTAACTCGCAACTCGACCGTCGTAACTCGACCTTCGTAACTCGCAACTCGACCGTCGTAACTCGCAACTCGACCGTCGTAACTGGCAACTCGAACATCGTAACTCGCAATTCGACCGTTGTAACTCGCAACTCGACCGTCGTAACTGGCAACTCGACCTTCGTAACTCGCAACTCGACCTTCGTAACTCGCAACTCGACCTTCGTAACTCGCAACTCGACCTTTGTAACTCGCAACTCGACCGTCATAACTCGCAACTTGACCTTTGTAACTTGCAACTCAACTTTTTTAACTCGCAACTTGCAACTCGATGATAAGAAACCCTTGTTTTTAGTACTGTGAATTTCTCATCTAACATACTTGATATGAACTCATGTATGAGTATATTGTGTTTATTTTTAAATGATGAATAAGTGTGAAATAATCACTATAATAATTAAATTATAATGAATTCCCGAGGATATGTGGGGTGTATGTTAATGAGAGAGCTATATAAAAATATAGTAATACCATATTTATAAGACCAAAGTTGTGTAAATATTGCTTTGCTTACTGTTATTTTGATATGACTGTTTATTTCTCTTAGTTCCCATCTAATGCCTTCAGTTAATGCAGTCACTGCAATGTTTAGTAGCTGAATAAAAGTGTGCTTTACCACAACAATGTCCTGATAAGCTTTAAATACATGAATGATAAAGTTCACACAATTTTGTGAATGACATTCAACAGCATCTACTTAAAGCACCAACACATCGTGAAAGTTCCACTTAAACAATTTAGGTTTCATATTTTCATTGGCTTATTTTTCAAAGAATTCTTTTTAAGCATCTTCAGCTTGTATAACTTGTATTCTCCTGCTTTTATGTACCGATGTGAGATAAACACATGATATTTGCCACTGAACATTAAAAACTCAATAAAAATCTTCTGGTTTTCAATAATAAATGCCCAGAGAATAAATGTTCATCATATCATCTAGTTATCCCGTATTATTACTGTTTATATGATAAAGATCCGATAAATTATCTTTTCGTTTATAAAATTATACCTATATTAATCTATTTGATTTAAAGCTACACCTGCCATAAAGCTTTCACCTGTTGATATTAAGGATATGACCATCATCAACTCTGTTGGCCCTCATCATTTTCACAGACTCTCTTGTACACAGACATACAGCCATCACATTAACCTAGAAAGACATAACTATAAATAACAATCTTTACTATACTACCAGCAATAAATTAAAAGGAAAACAAACAAAAGCTTAACAAACAATAACAAGAAAACAAAGACAAGTATAATTCAAAAATATCTGTTGTTTAGATCTAATTACATGAAAAGGAAAGTAGTGCCTTGAACCGTTAGACTGCTAAAATAATTCTTTTTTTTTGCCGTGGTGATAAGGGAGCTACCATTTGATTTTTATGGAGGGGCTAGGATGAAAAACTTTGTCCTGCCTATTTATTTTCCCCTCTATTTGGTCCTGCCTTTTTATTTTTCACTCTATTCGGTCCTGCCTTTTTTTTTAGTTTATCCTGACTTTTTTTTACATAAATTGTCATCCTGCCTTTTTTTTGTGTAAATAATCTCATCCTGTCTTTTTTTTTACTCAAAAATCCTGTCCTGCCTATTTTTTTCAAATTTCGTCCTAGCCCCCCATAAAAATCAAATGGTAGCTCCCTAAGCATTGGATGAAGATTAATTGCTTGCCTACACCATACGATTTCAATAAATAAAAGGTCATAGAGTGATGATAAATGTAAAATTGTTAAAAACAAGAGTAGAATCACGAAAGCCACGATTTGGTCCATGACTTTCCAATAAGTTACTGGGATGACAAGGGTTACAAGTAGCATTAACGAATCAATTTATAGTATTAACTGGGTTCATAAGTTAGCAGGTGTTACGAAATTCATGTGAGTCGAATTTAGTCGTCACTGTTAAAGAGGGATCTATGAGATTGATTGGACATAACAATGTTGAGATGGAGCCATTACGTTACACAAGAAATTCTAAAACAAATAGTGTACTTCACATTTGAAAGAGTTTAGAATTCCAAGCATCATGACTCATGTACATATAGAGTTACTCTGGTTTTCTAAGATCATTTTGAAGATATTCAGAGTTATCTAGCAATGTAGCATTAAGCGCCATCATAAATCATTTTGTGACGGTTTAGGGAGCTGCCATTTGATTTTTATGGGGGGGGGGGGGGGTGGGATGAAAAATGTTGTCCTGCATTTTTTTTTAGTTGTAATCTCTGTCCTGCCTTTTTATTTTTCACTCTATTCGGTCCTGCCTTTTTTTTTTTTTATCCTGACTTTTTTTTACATAAATTGTCATCCTGCCTTTTTTTTTGCAAAGTGTCTCATCCTACCTTTTTTTTTTACTCAAAACTCCTGTCCTGCCTATTTTTTTCAAATTCCATCCTAGCCCCCTCCCCCATAAAAATCAAATGGTAGCTCCCTTATAGAAGCTATCAAAAACCGATGTTTATCGTGAAGGTAGAGAAGTTGTTATTTCTAGTAAAGATAATGTCATATGTCCTGTTATCCTGACATGATATTTGTCAAAAGCAGATATCGAATCAAATAGTACAGATTTTATCTTTCCTCATTTATGTTTGTTGTAAATCAGCAGGTTAAGATAAATATTTTGGTATTTGCAGCCTCAGATCAGACGGTGCTACTGCTGCAGCAGGTGCACATGCAAAGGATCGGTTATTCACAGTCGATGGAAACAGACCTTGCTAAAGACAGTAACATAAAAGAAAATACTTAGGTTTATAAAAACAAGAGTGCACACGCTGAAATGTCTCGCCATCTTTACTAACCATTGATATTATGTTGATAGTCTTAAATATAAAGCTTTACTACAACTACCACATAAACTTAACATGATCCAAGAAAATGAGGTCAAGGTCATACAAACCAAATGAGAAATACATGTACACCTTACAATCATTCAATACATTAAATATAGTTGACCTATTGCTTATAGTTTCTAAGAAACAGACTTAACCAAGAAAACTAAACATTAACCAAGAAAACTAAACATTAACAAAGAAAACTAAACATTGACCAATGAACCATGAAAATGAGGTCAAGGTCAGATGAACCATGCCAGGCAGACATGTACATCTTACAATCCTTCCATAAAACAAATATAGTTGACCTATTGCTTATAGTTTAAGAAAAACAGACCAAAACACAAAACTTAATACTGAGCAATGAACTGTGAAAATGAGGTCAGGGTCAAATAAAACCTGCGAGACCAACATGTACATCATAAAATATTTCCATACACGAAATATAGTTGACCTATTGCATATAGTATTAGAAAAAAAGACCAAAACTCAAAAACTTAACTTTGACCACTGAACCATGAAAATGAGGTCAAGGTCAGATGACACCGGCCAGTTGGACATGTACACCTAACAATCATTCCATACACCAAATATAAATGTCAAGTATAAACTTTGAAATCATAACGGTTCTAAAGATATAGAACGAACACGATCTTTACCATAGGACATGGGGTTGTCAAATGAAACCAAAATTTTTGACCTTGACCTTTGACCTAGGAAGTTTTACATAGATTATGACACACCCTTTGGTGTTGGTTTATATACATGTCAAGTATAAACTTTGAAATCATAACGGTTCTCAAGATATAGAGCGGACACGATCTTTACCATAGGACATGGGGTTGTCAAGTGAAACCAAAGTTTTTGACCTTGAACTTTGACCTAGGAAGTTGTACATAAATTATGACACACCCTCTGGTGTTGGTTTATATACATGTCAAGTATAAACTTTGAAATCATAACGGTTCTCAAGATATAGAGCGGACAGGATCATTACCATAGGACATGGGGTTGTCGACTGAAACCAAAGTTTTTGACCTTGACCTTTGACCTAGGAAGTTGTACATACATTATGACACACCCTCTGGTGTTGGTTAATATACATGTCAAGTATAAACTTTGAAATCATAACGGTTCTCAAGATATAGAGCGGGACACGATCTTTACCATAGGACATGGGGTTCTCAACTGAAACCAAAGTTTTTGACCTTGACCCAGTGATCTGGAAGGATTTTTTCTCTATGGGCCCAGGGCCCCCCAAAAATAAATTCAATGGGCCATTTTTAGAATTAATGGGCCATGTTGTCAAATGAGTGGGCCATTCGTTAACAATAAAAACAAAAAATAAAAAAAGTGTATATTTCACTGTACTTACAAGTATGATTCTAACTTATATCATGGATATTGTTCCTGTGATTTTGTAATTTCAATTTCAATGAATATACAATAACTTCTTCCAAACCGGGCAATATTTAAGATAACCTTTATTTACAATGTTAAAACTGGTACTGTTCCCTTGTTCATGTTGTTCATGTTCATGTTTTTTTTTACATTAAATTTGGGTCTTCGTCGATACCTTACTTATTCAAGACGTTCCGTATTAGAGGAAGTTTCTGGCATTTCATTTGCACTTGTATTATTATTACTTCATCGCGATGACAAGAATAACAGTAGAGAGAAACGTTAATTGATAAGACACAACAACAATTCGCTGAAGGCATGTTTACAAAATCAAAACGAGCCAAAGACCAAAAAAAATGACAAGGACAGTTAAGCCCCTTTTATGGAGACAAATACTATGCTATTCATAAAAAGGCTTTTGGGTTTTTCAATCGAAATAATAGCAAGCTTACTGAAAAGATTATAATTAGAGAAGAATTCTCGCCTGTATTAGCCAATTTTCACAAATTTAAAGTCGTTTATCAAAAAATATATCATGAATGATGGTTAATTACGTTTTTTGGGTAATCAGTCATACCGCATGTTGCTATTATTACCATAGGAAAACACCCGAGACGTCCCAAAAATATATAGGTGCTCCTCAACACTACACAGTTGTGTACTCACAAATGGCGGCACGAAATACGATCGGAAATCCATTTGACGATATCTCAACGTTTCAAAACGAAGTGAAAAATATCATGCGCCACGCGGGCGCTTACATTTGTCAATCTATGCGCCATTTCTGGTCGATAAGCGCAATTGGCGCAAGGCGCACGTCCTTCCCGATCACTGCTTGACCTTTGACCAAGGAATTTGTACATACATTATGACACACCCTCTGGTGTTGGTTAATATACATGTCAAGTATAAACTTTGAAATCATAACGGTTCTCTAGATATAGAGTGGACACAACTTGTTAGGGACGAACGGACAGACTGATCACTATAGGGCGTCCGCCATTCGGCGGGGCCCTAATAAAAATAACAATTTAATCATTAATTTATATGCATTAATAAAAATGTGTTTTAATTAAAGAATGTTATAAAAATATTCGTAAAATGTTGATTTTTAATAAAAATAATATTTCTATAACAAGAGATGACTGTTAATGAAAAGTGATATATTATAATATAACAAGAAACGGTAATCCAACAAAATTCATAATTTTTTCACAACCAGTATCTTGAAAAAAACTCGGTGACTATCATTTTTATCTTATTTTTGAACATATCACAATATATACTACATTTTGGCAAAGTATGAAAAAAAATCTACCATTTTTCGTTAAAATCCCATACCACCTTATGCTTAAGAACATTTTAATAAAATGCTTCGCTGAGCGCAGCCAGATACGACCGCAGAGGTCGAACCCTGGACAATTGAGGCAAGTTTGGACACAATATTCAAGCTTGATACTGTCTGAATTTGGATTGTAATCAAATTTTTTACATATAGGTTTAGGACACAAAATAAATGTGGTCAAAGATTTTAAAAATTTTAAATAGGACATTTAATTTACCTAGAATGGTCTGATATCCAAAATCTAACAACATGCTTAGATTCAGCATATAAAAAAACACCAAAAATTTAATTTTAGTTGAAATCAAACAAAGTTTAATTTTAGACCCTTCAAACCTTAATATGGACTTATTTGAAAACAGGGCCCAAAATAAAAAATCTAAATGCACAATAAGATTCAGCATATCATACAGCCGCAATATTTCAGTTTTTGATGAAATTAAACATTTAAAGTTTAATTTTTGACCCTTTTGACCTTAATGTAGACCAATTTAAAAATGGGGCCCAAATATCCAAAAAAGTAATACAAGGTTAGAACCCCCAAAAATTAAAGACTTTAAATTAATCCCATTGAAATTGG